TATTTACAAAAATGTGAGGGGTGTACTCACTTCTGTGAGATACTATATATATATATATATATATATATATATAGCCTACATACACACACACACACGTACATAGTTATTTTTTATATAAAAATAAAGAAGCAAATTACAAACCGTAAGACAAATACAGTAGATACATATTAAATTAAATATTAAATAAACTCGTTTTTCTAATACAGTTGGTTTAACATGTATACTTTATTTAACATCTTTTGTTGTTTGATTAAAGTCGGCATTAAATCAAAATTGAAAATTCTTATTTTTTAATGGAATACTATAGTTTATTATAAATAATTTATCCGTGCACTTCATTATTTTTTTTAAATGAATGTGCCCTCGTAATCTTTAATAAAAAACGTTAACCTCCCCACCCCCTCAAAACAACTCATCTTCTTGTCCAGTTACGAGCTATGGCGCAAGGCCGGAGCTAGTGACGTGAGGGGTAAACGCTGGGATAAACATCAGGGGGAAAAACTGTAGCTGATGCTTCACTTTATAGAAATCAATGCATTGACCGGTTGCCCAGTTAATCATGTGACATGAAATTCCACGACATTTTACTATAAAAAATAAAGAATTCAGGGCCAGATGTTGTGGGTTAAACAAAAGATAACTTCTCTTTAACACAGATGGCTATATAGTTTAAAAAATGTGTAAAAACAATCAGTACTTTCAACCTACAAATCACATCATACCTTAAAAATAACAAAATTAGCTTATGATAGAATTAAATCCACCTCATTCTCCTAACTGATAACACTACTCTTGCCTGCTGGTTTTTATAGACAGCTCTAATTAAATAATTACATAAATCAGTTAATTTTAAGTAAATAATAAACACTTAAATACTATTAAATATTAGTGCTTGTGTTATGTGTTTTATTTAAGTATAAACAAACCCTTAACACACAATGAACTAAATTAATTATTTAATACAAATTATTTATAAAATAAAAACAAAAAAACATTTCCATTTGTTTTGTAAGTTTGGTCTGAATTCTTGATGCTTTTACAACGTTTTCACCAGCAGGTGTCGCCAGCATATGCTGTTTCAAGTGCTTTGAAACATTGAAATATTTTTCGAAGCAATTGGTTCAATTGATTCAATGCTTCGAAAGTTTCGTTTCTCCCATCAATAACTTTCATAGGTTTCACCTTATATTGTTGGCTCAGAAAATATGTAAATAGGCATGCCCAGTAGCAGCAGCTGTATCCCTTCCAGCTAACCACCAATCAGTCAGGAGAGTAGATTAACTTCGGTGGACTTAAACTTGAAAAATGGTGTGTTCCGCGATTGAAATAAAATACTTTCTGATGTTTATTCATGTTCATTTCGTGCTTTAAGTAAATATGAAAAGACGATCGGTTCATGTGTTTGAACTGAGGCAATACAGTGATCTGTCACTACGCATTGAAGAGCCACAAAATGATATTTATTGTTTGAATTTTTTTTTAAATTACAAAATTTAAAAGCCGAGAGTCCTGAGACCTTGTTTCATACCAGAAGTAACCTGCTCTGTCTTGTCTGTCGGTGTGTTGTCAGTTTCCTCTTTGCTCTGCGATGTATTTTTCACTTCGTGAGAACGCCTCAGGTTACGTATGTACCCATGGTTCCCTGAGAAGGGAACAAGACACTGCGTCCTCTAGAGGTCGCTTTGGGGATGCTTCTGCGTGACCGGTGTCTGAAGCATTCATCTAAACATGACAATAACATTGGCCGGCGACAGCCTGTGATGTCATCACCCACTGCGACCACAGTATAAAAGGGCACCGGGAGAACACGTCATCCTCTTCTTCGTCTGAAGCTTACGTCCGAAGCATGGCAAGAGAACTAGAGGACGCAGTGTCTCGTTCCCTTCTCAGGGAACCATAGTTACATACATGACCTGAGACGTTCCCTTCTGAGGCTGTCAGTGACATTATCCCCTTCGGCCAAGGGCCTGAGCTGCATACCCTAAAAGAACTTACCTGTTAAGGGCTGTGCTAGGAAGCCCAAGCCTAGAGCAGAGCTCATGGTTTGGAATCAGAAGAAAGAGATTGCTTTAAGGGGATATGGCCAGGTGTCTAAAAACCAAACCAGAACCTGGCCTGCCACCCAGGGGGGCTACGGCCGGTTCTGAATAAACCTGCTCAAAGAACTGACTCGACAGATCTTTAGTAGCAACACCCTGCTCAGAAATGTATCAACAGAGATACATAAGTTGAGAGGAGCCCAAGGCGAGAACTGGGGCCTAAACCAACTCAGAGAAAGGGAACAAGGCTGACAGTGTGTATCCCTTACCATACAGGATTTCAGAAAATGCGCAGAATGCTTAGCGTGCACACTTACCACAATGTGGATTTCAGAAAGTGCACAGAAGCTCAGCATGTGCACTTACCATAGCATGGATTTAGAAACACCATTCCTTAAGGAGTAACCGAAGCTGTAATAAACCAGCCTAGGAGCCCTATGTGACTGTGGCATGCTCACAGAACACACTCCGAAGTATCTGCTCACAGATGCAGAGAAGGGAGCGGCGCGCTTGCAAGACGCCCTTATTGATGAGGGGAGCACAGCTAGCTCACTTAACAAGCAGCCTGCCAGGGAGGCAGGAGATGGTCCAGCCGCCTGGCATGATTGCTGTCTAGAGCTCAACTTCGAAAATAGAAATGGAACTCGGATGCTCAGATCGAGAGGGACGTGCTCATATGAAACCCCCAAGGGCGCTGCTAAGCTCGACCCACAAGGAGAGCGGTTAAACAGGGAGGTGGAGAAAGGCCTAACAACCTGAGGCTGCTACTCAGTGGAGCACAAACGAGTGGAGGACTTGATGAGAGAAGTCCACAGATGCTCAATTGGGAGTGACAGGTCTTAAAGACAACCCTCCGAGGTAAAGCGAACACTGCTTGGCTTGACCCAAATAGATGCAGCTTATCAGGGAAGCAGCAAGCGGACGAACTACCTGATGTCACTACCACAGAGATCAAGAGCAAATGGTTCAACCCCTAGCTAGGGCTGGACGATATGACCAAAATTTATATCACGATATATTTCTTAATTTCGGTCGATACGATATAATTCCAATATCGATATGAACACTATTAAAAAAGCCTCATAAAGAACGGCCACAACAGATGTCTGTACCTACAAACTTATAAAAAATTAATTTGCCAACTCTATGAAACCTACTCCTATAAAACTATATAATATTTTAGGGAAAAAATGGCGCAAATAAATAAATGTTCACCTTTTATTGGTATTTATCCTTCGTACAAACAAGAAATGTGAAATCTCTGTCAAATAAATCGCAGACTCTCCTTATTAATATTCATATTTTTTTACTTCCAACTATAGGCTAACATACCAGTCAAAAGTTTTTGAGCAGTAAGATTTTTT